GTTCAAAAGGGGAAACTGTCAAAAAGTCAAAGAAGGGGGAGGTGAACTACTGTCCTGATCCACCTGAAGGACAGAGTCCTGAAAACATGGAGGTGAAGCGCAAGATAATGGAGGCTGAAATGCAGAAGAAAGACCCAAATCATCAGCTGCTTGAGGATTTGATGGTTGCTACATTTTCTCAGCGTAGGAAAGACATTGTAGGAGATCAACCACACATCACAGAGCTCATCTCCCGATGGCCTGCTCTGTTCCATGAGAGACAGGTAATCATACATGCATTAGTTTCACCAAGAGATTTAGTGATTTAATACTGAGTTAACTGTGTCCTGATGAGTTTTATGTTCTATCACCTCAGATTAGGGCAGAATTTACAAGAATCGTCACCACAGACCTTCTGAAATCTTTTGTTGACGGACTTGATGGCCTGGTTCTGAGACTGCTGGAGGTCTACAAAGCAGCAACCAAATCTGGGAAGAAGCAGCCACTCAAAGACATTTTGGACTGCCTTGCAAAAGATGTGAGCAGAACTGAAGATGGCTATAAAACTAGGCGTAATTTGTTATTTTTGTTAAAATATATTCATCTTACTGCATGTCTTATCTCTTACAGGACATGAATGAAAGGAGAAGGGCTGCTGCTCTGCTTGGTTTGCCACGCTACATATCTGGGGAAGATCCATCAACTGTCATCAGGATGTGTGATGTAAGACTAACAAATGTTATTACAAAAAACGTTTACATATTTAATTATTCCTCTTTCTTGATATCATTTCTTAAAAATCTTTTTGTAGCATTTGTGTTTGCAAAAACTTATTTTTACTCCTTAAGAGACATTACTTCCTGTTTACTACAGCCATGCATAACATCAAATTCTGATGTAATAACTTTGTCTATCATGATTGATTTTGCTCAAAGCCACTTGATGGAAACATGCCTGATTTGCATTTTCTTCCATTTCTTTTGACATTTTAAGAATTTGATGATTAAAAAAATGCATTAGAATGGAAACATTTCTAGTGTCCTACATTTTTAGAATAATTTCAGCGCTTCACAATGGGGGTTTTTAATCTGCCATACACTGTGCTCATGTGCATGAAAATACAAGTTCTGTGGATGAAAAAAGTTTGTCAGAAAGGAGGACTACCTGATGACAAAGTAAAGTGCTGAAAATATGTTGAATAAGTACACATAAACTGGCTTTTTTTCAGGTGGGACTTATTTTCAATGTCTAATTCTTCTGGATGTTTGCCTCATCCACAACAGTGGCCTGTTTCATTGCCATTATGCTCTATGCTTTGTCAAACTGGGAGTGTGTCAGGTTATTCTCTGACTGAACAGAAGTGCATCATACAACCCCACAAGTGTCAAAACATGCAGATTGTTAAACCTCACAATAGCATAAAAATTTGCAGTTTAAAAATAACTGAGTATTTACATTCTTTACTTACACACAAATGTCATTATTTCTTTTCTATTTTAGGCTCATGCTGATATTCTGGATGATGCCATGAAGGGGATGCAGGTTGGTCTCCTGATTGCCTGTGAAGGTAGTGAACAGGGGGCCATCCCACACGAGGTCTTCGACGTGGCAGTTGTGGTGGAGGAGACCATTGTGCTTCACAATATTAAAGATTTGACAGTTGGCTTTGCTATGCTTATGGGTGTCATCTACTGTATCAATCTCAAGTATCCAAATGACATGAAGTATTCGTTCGAGTTTCTTCAGAGAGTGGTGATGAAGATCAGTCCAGACCATGCCTCAGCTCAAGTACATGGTTTGAGAAACAAAATCCTGAGGTACAAACTATAACATCTGGTATGTTTACAGTTTTGTTTTCTTAAATAAGAGTTCCTGTAAGAATTTGTTCAGTTTTTTCTATGCACTAAATGTTAATACTAATGGTTATGCACTAAAACATTTAGCATTGTGCTGATTCTGTGGAAAAACCTCTCAGGATTTTTGTGAGTTTGTTAAAACACTGATCATTTTGCACTTTTTGGACTGTTTTTGACAGATGGTAGCTAGTTGTATTGACTTTGGACTGCTACTGTTCAACGTGGTTAGAATGTTTTGTAAAATAATGGTCTATATGGAGGACTGAAACTCGCCAATAAAATGCACTTAAAATGCACCATACCTCACAAATTTTTTACAATAAAACTTTAGGTAGTGTTCTTAATTGGTGCCTTTTAAGTGCATTTATTTATTGAGATTTATATAAAATTTTTTTTGTTATTTGTCAAAGAATTTATTTCTGATTTGGTCCTTCAATAAATGTAAACACTTCTGCTTGTCTCGAACAAATGTTTTCTTTTTACACTTACAGTAATTTAAGGCTTGTCTCATATTTGATAGAGAAAGAAAAATAAATGTATAATTTGAAATGGAAGCATATTGGTGTAATTATTTTTAGAAAACTGGTAAACTTGTAATTGTTAGTGGAGAAAGTGAGCAAAATTTGGAAATGTTAGTTTACTTAAATTGCAATTTGAAGTTCAGTAGCTGCCTTAAACTCTTGAGTTAAATTAACTCAAAAAGGGAATATAATTGTTTGCTACTTCAACAAATTTTGAATGGATAATGTAACTTTGTAAGGCCTTTAAACTTGGAGTATGAAGTTCATACAACTAGTAGTCATTAGTTAGACAAGTGGTATAACTTAATTATTTGAGTTCAAATAGAATATGATTTTAATTTTACTTGACAAGAGTACTCAATTTATTAAGAATGAATAATGTTCTATAGTTAGTCATTTCAATTTATGGTATTATCAGCAATTGAGCTACTTTTCTAGCTTGCCATCCTAAGTTGGAAAAAAACATTATTTCATTTGTGTTAACTTGTCCTTTTAAGGCAGCTGCTTAACTCAAGTTTTTAAGTTTAACCACCCTAATTATTTTTACAGTGTAGCTGTCTTCAGTTGTCCTTCCAACAGAATACAGCGAGTTTGTGAGAGAGAGAGAGGAATTAGAGGGGGAGATACACAAAAAAGTACGAAAAAACGTGGACCTGGTTCAGAAAAAGATGAGGGAATCTTTTTCTAAAAGGGCAAGCAAAAAATACAAAAACTTTAAATTCAAGGAAGGGGATGAGGTTCTCTTGTACAAAGCCCGAAAGAGAAGGAGGAAAGGAGCCAGGATGGAGCCTGACTACTCTGGACCATATGTCATCGGGAACTTGTAGGGAAGAAAGCTGTGTTGATGACAGCAAAAGGAAACATCCTAAAAACAAAACATAGTGTCAGTCACTTAAAGCCCTACAAAAGAGGCAGTGAGGCAGAAAATACAGATGGTTCTGCAATGGGAGTTGAGGTGCAAGAGAGGGAGTCTGTAATCAGATACACTGGTAAAACAGAAGTACTGACAGAGACTGAAGACCAGGATACTTCTGGGGTTTTCCAGTCCCCCCCTCCCAAGTTGTCTCAGTTGTCTCCCTCACCCGCTCCCAAGTTGTCTCCCTCACAATCTTG